TTCTTTCTTTCTTTCTTTCTTTCTTTCTTTCTTTCTTTCTTTCTTTCCTTTTCAGTTAAAATTCTGTTCTTGGTCTTTGCCCATTTCTTTCTTTCCACCCCATACGTGGGTTGGACCCAAATGAAGCCCTGTGCCTAATGACTGAATAAGTCAGTGAGTACTAAGATACAGCACTGTTAGTGAGCATTGCTTTACTAAGTTCTCCTCAGAAAGAGCTACTCGGCTTTTTCGACGCATCCTAACTATCTTTCAAACAAAAGCTGTGTCTACACACGGATCCAACGTTCGCACCACAGTTACTGAGGATGAGCCCACTGCCAGTCAGATGAGGACAAACTTTTCACCTAGCAGAAAACATCTTCCCAGAATTCCTGGTGATGACTAAACTAGGCAGTGAGGGTGGCTGTTGAGAGTTCGGAGTCAATATTGTGTTAGAAAGAAAAAAAAAATGGAGACGAAACAACTCACCAGTTCTAGACACTGTCTGTGGCCATAGGCGGCAGCATAGTGGACACTACTGTAGCCTTCCTTGTCCCGGATGGATGGGTTTGCATCATTTTGAAGCAGAAACTCTAGACATCTGTAAGCATAAAGATGCAGTCTCAGAAACACCTCTGTGCCAGAAGGATAATTAGAGCAAAGCTCTCTATTATGGACATTCCATGAAGCACCCTGAGAATGTAAAAGAGCCTATTACCACAAGGCTATATGTGCTGGTGGGGGAAGGGCACATGCTTTCTTTATCTGTCTTTATTTCACATTAAAATAACGCTTTTGGGAGTCAGGGGAAGCTCTAGAACAAGTGGGTGGTTGGGTGTCTTTTCCTCTTCTTATCCTAAGGTAGAGAATATACCTTCAATAGTAAGATTACAACCTCTGTGTTCACAAGTCTCAAATGTAATGAAGGAGTGGTCAGGTCATGGCAGCTGGGAAAACCCAATAGAGAAGGTATTAATTCTGACATCACCATTGGAGATGAAGATTAAGTTGTTAAAAACTGGAATTTCAAAACAAATTAAGAAGAAAGGAACCTGAGAATAGACAGAATCATAAAAAGACCAGAAGAATGGCCAACCGCTTAAAAAAGTGTGAAGAACTCATTCAGTGACTACACTTGAGAGAAGAAACTTAGGCCGGCCCATCAGGAATATAGACTACACAAAGTTATGAACTTCAAAAGCCTTTTCTGGCATAGCGGTAATTTTTCTGAAAAAAGTGTCACCATGGGCTGCAAGCATGTCCAGCTGTGGCCCATGGTCTACATGCAGCCGAGGATAACTTCGAATGTGCCCAATGCAAACGAGAGCTGACTTAAAACGTTCTGCAGTGATAAGCTTGTGTTCGCAATGTCGAGAGGCAGCTGGCAGGAGGAGAAGTCTGGTGCAACCCTCACTGAAGAGCCTCGGGCTCTAGAACACCAGCACCCTGGCATGCACAGGAAACCGATCTTGGCTTTACAGAGGCAATAACCTCACTAGCTTGTTGCAGTGCCATTTCCATCACCATGAAACAAGTCCACGCTGATTCGGTTTTCTACTCTAATCAAGACTTGTTAATTTGGCCTTTTGAAACTGGGTCTCATGTAGCCCAGGCAGGCCTCAAACTCATTACATAGCTGAGAATGACTTTGTACTTCTAATCCTCCTCCCTCTAACTTCCAAGTTCTGGGATTTCTAGGATGAACCACCAGCCATGGGTAGCTCTCAGGGTTTTAAGAGTCTAAGTAGAAGCCTCCCCATTAAATAAGATTTTCCCATGGAAGCTTTCTATAGTTTATTCATAAACTTTGATGTTACATTTACCTATCATTTGGGTTAAGGCCAAAGGGATTAAAAAGACAAACTGCTTCTTTATTTCTACAAAACTGGAGAAAGATATGTTGTGTAAACCCAATCTATAAAATGCTCCAAAATAAATCAAACTCTAATTAAAGTCCTGCTATCATGCTATCTTTGGTCTTTCATACCTTAAAAGGGAAGTACTTTTATATTTGGGTAATTAAATGTCTGTAGAGAGGATCCTGTTCATGACTCATTGTAAACTGAATGTAGGTCTTTCATTCATCAGGAATAGCATTCTATGGACATACAACTCCATGGGTTGAATGTATTGCAAAAAGAAAATCATTTGACATGATAAATTTATAAGTTGAAAAAAAATCAAGAATTCCTCCCAGAGAATTATTTAGTCCAGAACATTGCTAAACTAGAGGACATCTACAAGGATACAGCAGCAGAAGCACTTGGGCTTCTCCACATTGCTCCAAAGGAAAAACAAATCCAGTGTTCAGCTGCTACAGCTTCTCTTTCCTCTCTCCAGGGCTAACTAGTAGTTTGTCTACTTGACATGCAAAATCAAAAGAACTACAGGTCACTGGTGTGGGCAGAGGGAAAGGCCTCACTTTGCAGGAAGGAGCTCAGGGCTGCCGTTCCTGGCCCGTTCTCTCCTCTCTTGCTCCCTTCCTCACCACTGACTCTGGGCTGTCACGGGGCAAGCCTGCAATTCAACTCTGCTGCAGTTCACAACAGTGTCTGTCCCTGCCCCAAAAATACTCAGTTATGTGCTACAACCTGCACCAGGGCTTTCCTCATCTGTAACAGCCTAGACACAGGGACATGAGGAGGAGAGCAGAGGGGACAGTGTAGAGGCCTTAGAGTGAGCACAAGCATTCGGGCACAGAAACTCAGACCTCTGGCAACTTGAGAAGGAAATGAACACACCCTGGAACACAAGTCTGTAGACTCTTGGGGCACTGTATCCCTTGGGGAGTGGGTACAAAGCAGACGAATGGACTCACTTGTTTGTTCCCTTATCCAGAGTTACCGCACTAAGTGCCAAGCTCACCACTGGCCACAGATCTCTGCTCTGATTTGTTTACGACTAGAATATAAAGGAGTGTCCCTGTGTCGATGCCCCTGGGTGATGGCAGGGGCTCCAGACCTTTTCACGGCAACAGTGAAGCCAGTCTGAAGTCAGTCTGAAGTCAGGCTGGGTCAGGTTTGGTAAACCTGGTCAGTGGTAGCTGTTTACAAGAAGCAGGAGGGTATCTGTAGGTCAGGGGTCTGAGGGGATTTCACACCAAGGTCTGAAGGCCTTTATTTATAGAATCTGATAATAATTATCCCCAGGTCATCAAAGTAGAACCTAAGGTCCCAAGTAGAGGCTTAACATGTCCCGATGGCATATGATACAAGACAGAGTTAGAAATAATATTTAAGACCCAAGGCTGCTGGCCAATCACAATGGTAGTCAACGCAAGCTTATAATTGTATAGAGTTCCACATACAAGAACAGTAGGATGGGTGTGTTAAAGACATCTATATCCCACCCCTTTCTCAGGGTCCCAAATGAAACCCCCAGTAGGAAGGCAGCATGAAAGAATATGGTGCTCCATTCTTACACTCCAAAGAAACTTACAGCGCAGCATCTTTTTCCTTCACTTCCCTTGCTCTTTCAAGTTCTTCAGCATTGTCATGGGCATTTCCTAAGACCATCTTACTGTTCAGCATAAGATATAAAAAAAAAAAAAACCACAATTAATTTTTAATTAAAAATTGTTGATAGGTTTTGCACAATTATCTTTCAGTGATTTTTATCCCAACCCAAAAGGGACATGCATTGTTTCTCTCTGAGGCTATCTAGAAAATCTGTTTCCTCCCAAGGAATCCAACTGAGTACATCAGCTTCCTAAAACTTCTCCCTAGCTATGTGCGACTAAGACCAGAGGCAATGTTGCTCGTCTAGGAGCCTAGACTGCCTGGTCACCAAGCTTTCACCATACCTGGAATTTCTTTTAAGATTTCTTTTTTATTTATGTATATCTGTGTGTCTGTGTGAGTGAATGCCACGTGTGTGAGATGCGATCATGTGGGTGAGATCCCTCGGAGCTGGGATTACACGTGACTGTGAGACAATTGAACTTGGGTCCTCTGAAAGAGCAGCAAACACTCTTAACTAATAAACCATGTCTCCAGCCCAGATGCCTGGGTACTCTTATGTGGGTTCTGGATATTAAACTTAGACCTCATGTCTGCAAGGAAACATTTTACCAACTGGTATACCTCCCCAGCTGTGAGTGTTTGAGTGTTTGAGTGTGTGTGTGTGTGTGTGTTTAGAGTTGCTGTTTATTTTTTGAGACAGAATCTTATGTAGCCCAGGCTATCCCCAAACTATGTATCAGAGGATGAACTTGAGTTCCTAATCCCCCTGCTCACCCTGACAAGATTCTAAGTATGTGCCACCATACCTGGCCCTTTACGCAAATTTTTAAACACTGGATCACAACCTATTACTGAGTAAAATCAATTAATTTGAAATTGCCAAAATGACATAGAAAATATAATGTATCACATACAATAAATGTAAACCTGGCTTATGAGATTTTAATTTCTCATGTACAGACATACATGTGAACATGCGCACTGAATCATGATATAAAATGTATCTCTCACTTGGTTCACCATCTTGAATATTTGAAAGGGCTGATGGGATAGCCCAGTGGAAGAGCATATGCTTAGCTTATTTATATGTTAACATTAAATGTTTAGATGTCACTGTTCTAGAAAAGAAGCCATTATAACCCAGAATCCAATGCACCACTGGGATCAGCAAAGAATTCAACAGTTGTAATGTAACTGTTCGGAATAAGAAGTTCCTCCTCTGCGGCTGCCCAGGTTGGAAGAACAGTGTCTAATCTCATCACCCCAAAGCTGCATTTGAAGGCACTTGGGATTATGCATTTGGGAGGCATTTCTTTACACAGGATGTGTATATATATTAGCAGATGGAGCATTCAAGCAGCAATGATGGCTACCATTGTGTGTGTCAAGTAAATTCCAATAGCTTTCCAAAGAACCGAAAAGCCTGGGCTTGACAGCTCTACTTGGCATTTAACTCAAGGGCAGAGAAGAGAAGAAATCGTGCAATGTCATGAAATAATCAAACCCAGAGACAGAGCAGGAAGCCTGGGGTAGGGGTGACCTCCACTCTGAATGAGAGTCCTCGTTTGTGGTTTCTAGGAGGCAGTGTGAAGAAAACATAACCATCCTCCCCTCACAGCTCTGCCCCGAGGTGAGGCACAGACAAGGCTATTTTTACTTCCTATCCATGTCTGACGCGGCGGCATAGTGCAGGGCTGTCCGTCCCCAGTCATCTGTTTGATTAACGTTGGCTCCTGTGGTCACTAATGCTTTAATACAGTGGAAATGGCAATTCGCGGCTGCATAGTGCAAAGGGGTCCTGGAAAACAAACAGTGGTTATTAATAGCATTGTTACCATTTTACTCGGTCTAGCAATTGGACTCATCACTGACAGAAACGCTGGCCCGAGTATTGTTGCTTCAGCTCTCAGTGTGTGGAAGCTGAGAGGTGCACAACCCAATCTCCACGGATGGCTTCTGGACAGGCCGACCACAGGGACACTGTCCTTTCTACGCCTACTGCCTGCCCGGTTAAGTCCATGTCATTGCTTGTCCGAGGCAAGTTTGCCCCATGAAGAATCATCTATATCATCTTCATTAAGACCATCCATAGATACTACTAGGGAAAAGGAGAGGATGTGGCAGGGGCAACGTGAAAAGGCAACAGAGTGCATGAATACAAAGTCTGTATTATATGCACATATGAAAACGTCACAGTGAAATGCATCATTCTGCATTAGTTAAGAGTATGCTAGCTTTGGTTGTTGGTTTGTTTTTATAGACCATCCTTAACTCTAATCAAGCTTCTATCTAGTTTCTGGTTTTCTTTTTGTCTGTTTGGGTTTTTTTTTTTTGGGGGGGGGGCATTATGTTTGTTTGCCTGCTTGCTTGCTTTTTCAAGACAGGGTTTCTCTGTGTAGCCTTGGCTGTCCTAGACTCGAGTTATAGACCAGGCTGGTCTTGAACTCACCACCTGTCTCTGCCTCCCCAGTGCTTTGATTGCAAGCATGCATTGCCTCACCCAGCTTCTGGTTGAGTTTCCAAAGGACCAATCCCCACCTAAGACAATCAATCCCATTCTAAAATCATCAGCTTCCCCACACTGACAGAAGCTTGGTCTCTCGGCTTGGAATTGAGGGCTTTCCCAAGCTGTGTCAATTTCTTCTACAGAGCATCTCTCTCACCTCTGCACAGTATGAACCCGTTACTGACTGCAAACCAGATGGCAAGGGTCGCTAGATCGTGCTCACATGTCACCTTAATTCATGGCCATCTCGCCTCTTGTATATTTTTTCCTGCCTATCTATTCACCCTTTCTATTCCAGAAGCAAGCTTCTTTGTCTGAGAACTATGAAGTAATTTATATTACTTATTTTTAGTTTCCAATTATTTGGCAGTTTTTTTTCTTCTGGTATGACTAGCCAATATCCCAGGAATAATAACCAAACAGAATGCTAAAAATAAAGTAACTTTAGCTCAGGAATTATTTATTAGTTTTCAAGCATTTTTTTTGCTTTGTAGACAACGTAGGGCTCTTTTACTAACTGATTTTTAATTCAGTCCAAAAGGAAGAATTATGATTATGAAATTATAATAATTTACATCTTGGATTGCTTTGTTTTAATTATTTGGAAGGAAAATGACTAGGTATCAGCCGCTCTGACAGGGCTTAAGGATAAGGAGAAAGCTAGATGTGGGGACACATGCCTGTAATCCTGACACTGGGAAGGCTGAAGCAGATGGACTGTGAGTTCAAGGACGCTTTGGAAATTGCTAGAGGGAAAAGGATGGGTAGAGTCACACCTGTGTAGACTCATGTGTTTATGTGTTGCATACATATAGTCATGTCTCAAAAGCATGTTGTATTTTTTTAAAAATGTAGTATTAGGTGATTTTGTCACTGTATGACTAAAAACTAGAAATAGAGCCTAACACACATTTAAGATATATGGGACCACTATGGTGAACGTAGCTAAGTACTGAGTGATATGTTGTTCCTTGATATATAACAGAGTGTGTGTGTGTGTGTGTGTGTCTAGGTACCCATGAACCAGCAAGCGTCATGACTAGTTTAGCTATACAAGGGGTTATGAAGGGGGAAAAAGTCCTATGGCCCAGTGGTGGTTTATGTTCAGTTAATATTTCAAAGGTTTTAAAATTTATCTCAAGATGAAATGCCCAATACAGAAAACAAATGCTGTAGATATTTTGACCATATTTAAACATTTTTATTTGTGTGTCTGTCTGTGTGTATGTGCCTGGTGGGAGAGAGGGGGAGTTCCAGAAGGGAGCATTGGATCTCTGGAGCTGGACCTATAGGCAGTTATGAGCTACCAGGCTTGGGTGCTATGATCTGAACTCTACTCCTCTGCAAAAGCAGCACATGCCCTTAATAGCTGAGCCAATTCTCCAGCCCATATATTGAGTTTGATGTGCTAAGCTGGTCTATTCCACTATTTTTTCTAAAGTATATTCAGGCAGGTCATATTTTCAAAAGCAGAACCTAGAGGGCCCTTAACTCATGACTCCCATCAGCTTTTTCTGTGTTTCCCTACAAGCTTTTTCTGTGTTTCCCATCCCTTCTGGGGGTGGAGTCACCCCAGCTGTCCCATTGTGACAAGAAGACCATGTCAACGACAGGACTTCTCAATGGACTATTCCCCACTCTTATCTGGGCCCTCAGGGCAGGTTAGCCCAACTACATACCTCCCACATTTGTCCTTTTTGTGAAAATCTGCTCCACTGCTCTGCAGGAGTTTTATACATTCTACATTGCTAGAAAGACAGGGAAAACATAATTAGCGTGGTCAGGGTTAATTACTAAGGTACCTCCAGAAAGAAGTGTTTTTGGAAGAGTACAGGATCAGATGAAACGATAGCCTCAGGTCTAAAATTTCGCTAACAAGAAATAACCTGGATATAGCCCAGGCATGTCACACTGTAAGGATCTAAATTCCTTTCTCCAAACTAATAAGTCAACAAATGAAGGGGCTTCATGGAACATTTTCAACCCAATGACTAAGGAATGTAATGATTATTATATGATTAAGTCCTCTGGTGATAGCCTCATCATTTATCCTAAAATTCTTTTTCAAAACGAACAGGAGTTTATGAAACTACTTTCAGCCTCTAATAACTTCATGCCGCCTTTAAACAATGAGGCAAAGTGGCTGAGCACAACCTTTCACCACAGCACAATAAATCCCCACAATAACCATTCTCAACTCCATATTCCCCAATCAAAAAATAAAATAAAATAAAAAAGACAGCTGCATTCCCTGCAGGTAAATAAATATGCTGGACCAACACTGAGAATGATGTAATGGAGCACAGCGATCATTCCAGCCAGCTTTGTCATTCACAAAAGCAATAAATCACCCCCAGCAGAGAGAACAGGACCCACTGGAGTGAATTTTCCTGTTGAAGGGCATGCAGCTAATATTCATTTTAATCATCGTTTCAAGCATAAGCCCAGTGTGTTGCGCTGCCACTTTCTGGGGAGCTCTGGTATTATTTAAAATGTGGGCGTAGCTATCCATCATCATTCTGAACCCGAAATGCTAAGAAGTGGTTCGGAATGTTTTGTTTTATTATAGCGTAAGTAAGAAAAATGATGTTATTAATGATAAGCCTGAGCAGGCCTCTCTCATTCTACATGTACCCTTCATAGCCACTTTTCTCTGAGAGCTAGATGTAAGAGTCACGGAACGCATGAATTTTAAAAGGCACGTTGGTACAACTAATATACAGCACCTGTCTCTTACTGGGTGATGGATGGAAAAGGACCAAAAGCATAGGTGGATTCAACCTGTGTGGTTCGTGAATCTCATTTGGTTTGGGGACTGGGGTTTGGGGGAGGGGGTCTCTTTAAAAAAAAATACAGTAATTTGGAGGGTGGGATTGGAAGGGGAGGAGGAAGGGGGCATAGCTGGAATACGAAGCAAATACATTGAAATAAAAAAAAAAAAAAACGAAAAAAAAATACAGTAATCTGTGTTCCCTGAAGGTGCAGTAATTCTGTGCAAGGCTTAGTTTATGATTCCAAAAGGGACCCATGTAAAGAAGGGGCTTTACAGTCTCATGGTTCCTTCACCTCTGATAAATAGGTAATGTCCTTGGTAGCACACAAGATAAATGGAGACTTCCTTAAGTGCTAGAAAACTGATTAAGAACCAGCACCTTCCCACTACCAGGTCACACAAGAGGCACTATGTTCTGTCAATATGTGGTCATACACCAACACTATATTGATCAGAACTTTCATCTAACCATTGATATGCGAAAAAGAAAAAAAGCTGATGGAAAAACATCCTTTGCTACAAGGGAATATGCAAGGATTAAATCACTCTTGCCTATCTTTAGGATTTCCTTGGCCTTTGTTCATGCTTAATCATTCTAAAAATTTCAAAACTAATTATTTATTTACCACAAAGTGTCTATAAATGAGTATAAATTGATTCAATCTTTTATCCTCTTCGTCACCACCCAGCAAATGGTGACAAAGAAGGGAAAACTTGAGAACAATGTTCAAATTAATTTCTTTCCATAGGAAAGATGCCGAGTAGGCGTCATGTTGTGTAGCCTGACATCTCCCAGCCAGTGGGAGCTGGGAAAAGATAACAACTCAAGCCCCATGCACCATGAAGGATGGACTGCTTTCCTGTGGAAAAAACGAAATCTGAGTGATGTGGAAATGAAGCTAGTGACACTTGATATTTGGTAGAAGTGATTGTGACCCCATTTACTGAGGAAATTGCCTTTGGTTCACAGGCAGTTTATGTCAATTAAGATGTATGAAGTCGTCATGTCACGAAATAACCAGCACACAGAAGTACTCACCCTCCTGCAGCAGCAGCGTGAAGGCACGTTCTTCCAAACGTATCTGGGGTGTCTATTTCAAAGCCTGCAGACAGCACGTGCTCATTACTAAACAAGGACACTATGCTATACTTTTGTCCTAGTTAAACCACAAGAAACATTGCAGAGACAGAAAAATCAGTTAGTAGGAAAACCAGAAGGCAAGCAATTGTAGTCAGAAAGAGGTTGTCATGGAAACAAATGGTAACTGCTCAAGCTTGGCAATTTTATAGGAAGCACCACGAAGTCAAGAAGGATTTATTTTTTTTGCATTCAGCCCTCGGTGAACTGCAGCCCCGTTTTTCAATCCCAGGATAGAAATTTATGAAATCAATTTGAGATAAGTAGGGCAATGGACAGGCAGACAGAACACACGAGAAACATGGAAGGCAGAGGAGTAATCCTAACAGGCAGGGATAGAAATTCCTTTAAGGGTATCCCAACCTTCCCGAGGGTCGACGGCGTGGAAAACATGCTTTCAAGCAGGGATTATTTTTTTTTTTTAAGCATGCCAAAAGCAGTGAAAACAGAATCCACCATAGGTAAAGTACTTAGAGGAAGAAATACGCCTCTCAGGTAGCTAATGATTTAATTCATAAACAGTCTTCGCCCTGCAGGCTTCTGCCACTTTGGAAAGCCCAGGAACTTCTTAAGATAAAAAGTTGGGCAGAAGCAGAGATAAGAAAGACCGGCAAGGTGGAAAGCAGAGAGGATCTCTGGTTCCAGGCAGCCCCACATTAAAAATAGAAAAATTAAACCTTCTTGGAAGTGGGTCTGCCTTGATGATGTTTAGATGCCCATGGAGTTGGATAATAATATGCCTGATGTTTTCTACCACTGAAATGTTGAAGATTGGGTCATTTTCTTTTGTTGAAAAATACTAAATATTAAGTCATCAAGTTAAACCTCAAAGATTTTTTTTTCCTTCTATGACTTAAGATTCCCCTCTGTAAGCTCTGGCCGCTCCTCCCACCCAACTCTGGACCACTGAAAAAGGACTGTCATTTGACACAGAAATGCTGGCATCCAGACAGCGTTGACTTCAGGGACTGCCAGGAGCTGTCTCTTGCAGGCAGGCTATGGAACCACCTCACTCTGCCAAGGTAAGGCAATGGCCAAGCGCAGCCAGCCACTGAGCCCACACACCTAAAGCCATCTGGCTCACAGACAGGACACATGAGGCCTGATTGCTGGCGTGGATTCACTTACCGGATAGTAACAACTTCCTGCAGCAGTCAGAGTGGGCATTTAGGGCAGCTAAATGGAGGGGAAACATGCTATGGATTCCACACCTGAGGAGAACAACAACCACTCACAGTCAGAGATCCTAAAATGCACAGCGCAATCACCCCGCTGCCAGTCCTCTGCTGGGGACACCTACAAGGATCCCTGAAGGAATTTTGTCATTTTTCCATCCAGTAAGGAATTACACAGCCATTTTCTGCCTTAAAATAAGATGACCTGGTTCTAAAGCAATTGAAAGCCCATAACCACAGGGAAGTGTGTATATGTATCTGTGTACATATATACTGCGTGCATGTGGATATACACACAGATTTAATAAAAGAATCTCCTTCATGTGAAGACTTAAACATGTATTACCCTATTGTTTCTTTTGGCTTAGTTGTTAAACATCTTGTTTATTCATCCATTCATTCTCTTACTCACTTATGTGCTCAACATTTTGTGAATCTAAGATGCCATGCTTAGTGCCAGAGCTAATAGTGCTGAGCGAGAGAACCCCCAAGTGGGGAAAGCAACCTATTTTGTTCCTTAATTCAATAAGTATTTACTGTTGGCCTAATATGCGCCCATGTTTTGCTAATAGCTGCTGTATTATTAGAAATAAAATTAGATAAAAGTAGCTATTTGCCTTTTGTTTGGCAAAAGCTTATCTTCCTAATGGACTATGCTGGTGTGCACTAACCCACATCACTCTATCAGCCCCTAGACACAGGAGCAGGAAACACTAAGCGCAGATTTCATAAACCTAGCATGCTTTGCCCTAAAAAGTATTCCAAAAACAATCTAGAAAAGGCTTCAAGCCTGACTTGAGAGCCCATCCTTAGGACCCTCCGGGAAGGGTGAGAAGCCAAGCAGTGCTCCTCTGAGCCACTCCCCCCCCACACACCTTTCTCTGCCCAAGACCTAAAGCCGTGAGCTGAACTTACTTCGTAGGCACCAGCGTCATCTGCGGCTGCTGTGTACCCATAACATTTCATGCAACATCTCATGTAAATCAAGTAATACACTTACAGTTTTTCAGTCCTTCACGCTAGCCCTGCAGCATTAACCACCCAAGCTGATTCTCAGATACAAGGTGATCCGTTTTCAGATTTCATGCCTCATAAAGAGACACCCATCATTTGAATTTGTTAGACTTGGGTTATAAATACTGTGTTTTTCCATCCCAAGAGTTATCACTTATTAAGTGTGTGAATGTATGAAAGTAAATGCATAGCCACAAATAGTTCAGTCTTTGGTGTTTTGCAGAATGAAAGTGTCAGCAATGAGCCTCACTTTCTGGTTTCTGTTGGTTGGTGGGTTTTTTTTTTTGTTTTGTTTTCAATTTTCTGTTAGTTTTCCTTTCTATGTATGGAGATCTCTGGCCCAGTGTAGACAATAGCTGGCATCCAACAAGAGATGCAATTTCCCAGTCTTCTGGGCAACATCATGGGGAGGAGAGCTGCTTGTAATCACCTCTCTCATCACTTATCCACCCCCATTACAAGGTCCTAAAAAACAGTTGCATAAATGAATATCTTGATGTTCATGGAAGGTAGGAGTCAGAGGAGGGGAGGAGGTTTCCTGTTTATGCTACTATTTATATCATTTCCATTTGCTTTAATAGAAACATACTATTTTTTAAGAGTATGTTATGATATAACCCTAACTAATGAAACTTACTAATGGGATTAGCATGCAAAAATTTGATTTGTTTGAGGAGGGTTAGGGCAAAAATACATGATTAAATATTTTTAGACTTTTAGAAGGGAATGTAAAGAGGGCATAGAATATATAAAAAGTACAGAATAACTTCTATGATATTTTTATTTCTAAAGAGATGCGTCTGAATCAAGACTGCATTTCTCACAATTTCCTGAATGAATATAATTTTTAAACTATATACATTCATATATATTTATATATATATGTGTAGATACACAATAAATTTTATAAAGACAAATAATATATATACATGTATATACACATAAATATATTATCAATATATTATAAAGATAATATTTATACATATGTGTATATACATGGCACATATTTTATAATTCTATATGTGCATAGGCATATACACCTATATGTACATGTAAAGAATATATTTTATGACAAATATATTTTATATACAACAGAGCAAGCATGAATTAGAATGAATTAGAGAAATATTACCAGCATCTCTAAGAAACTAGATAAACAGAAAGCAATAGTTTAACAGTTGCATAATATATTCTATAAACCTCATTACCAATACTCTTATCAATCTTTCCACTTTCAGTAATTTATCAGTCTACATTAACTATTTTCTTTTTCACCGCTACTTAGAAAGAAAAGAGATAAAACTACTCTAGTTTAAAGTACCTAGCAAAAATTCTGTTTATTACATTTTGTTTTATTCTGTACTTAGTAAAGAGTCATTTCTGTGCAGGGTTTGAAGATATCAGTATAGGTACCACTATTATTGGCATTTCAACTTGAATATGACACTGGTTCAAACAGTCAAATTATATGTCAAGGAAAAGGGCATGATTCAGATCTCTGAATCATGTAGAAAGAATGTAAACATTTGAAATAGAACTATCCTTTATTGTAATAAAGGCTCATAAAGGAAAGATTTTGAAACTTTTAGTAGGAAAATCCAGCCTTGGCTGCCATAGTTATAGGCCTCACTCTTGCTTCAGGTATACATCAAGGAGCATTGAGAATAAAAATGTCAAATAACCCTGAAGTTAATAATGTATCAGTTACAGAAAAGAGGAGACCAATTCCAGCTAAATTGTTGCATTTATTTGGCAAGTCATAAAATTAATGGAAGCCATTTGTATTTAGGCATTTCTACTTTAATAGTTAGCTGGCATCCCCTACTAAGCTATTCTAAAATAAATGAGGTCTGAAAGATGTTCTTGTGCCATGCTACCAGAGATGAAAGGGCTGTTGGACCAGAAAAATATTGGGGTCTTTTCAATTTTCCTCTTGGTATCAGGGGACACATCTGCTCCTTCCTATACTCAGGATTTTGTAGGACTGTCCCTTTACTCTCTGTGGTAAAGAATACCATTTAGAGTGATGTAGTCGGGAACTCTGAGTGTCGATTTCACTACTTGCTAAGTACTTGGAGCTGGGCAAGTGGATAATGGTTCCATTACTAAGAACTTAAAGATCTTTACAGTGTCTGCATCACAGAGTAATTAGAAGCACTCCCTGGGCTAATGCACACAAAGCTTGAAATGGAGGAGCTGGCACACAGTTACCCGCGTGACTGGCATTAGCTTCCCTGGAGGCTGGAGGTCATCGGCTGTGCTCAGGATGCCGACGATGGGGAAGGTGAACCTTGACCGCCTAGCGTTCTCTACTTCCTTCTCTCTAAGTCCTTGTTCACAGCTCCCTGGGTGAGCGACGTTGGTTTAACTTGCCCACTGAGTAAGCAAGACACATTTCCTAACTTAGAATGGAACGATTTTATGATTATTTCACCTGAATTGTTCTCAATCTTTTTTTAAACGAAACTTCTAAGGAATGGTATCTACGTCACTGTAGCTACTGCTGCAGGCACTTGGGAATAGCTGATGACAGGAGACTGGCTCCTGCCTTCTGCAGCCTACATAAATCTTCAGCGGCTAGAGCAGTCTGGGCACTTTAACATGGCTACCAAGGTTTCTCCTGGGTGGCCACTGTCCAGTCCACAGGGATTCCAGATTCTCAGTGAACGTCTTTGCATCCCTCCTGAGAGCCGAGCTCTACCCTGACCCCTGAACTTTGCACATTCAGGTTTCTCTGATTCTCCATCTTTCCTGCTGCCTTTTGTAATGTTTCTTAAACTTGTTAATGCATGCTTGTGCGCCACTGCAAATACTTTTGGGTTCTAAGAAGTCTTCTAGGAGAATCTTTTCTTGTTAATAATATTATAACAATAGATTTAAAGCATATTTGGGTTCATCTGAAGGATAATTTTATTTTTATCCTGTATATGCCAAACCTCAGAGTTGGCATTTGCACTTCAGCTTACCTTGCATTTGTGTAGCATACTTTGGTTATAGGTTGTCATAGAGCACTGGGAAAAGCATAAGTTGGCTCTACTACACCTAAACCGTATCTCAGCCTGGGGAGAGATGAGGACACTGAGAGCTTTGTGCAAACAAAAGATGGCATAGTAGTTAGAATAAGGCCATTGTTCTGGGTACTGAGCTCATTGCCCTTCCACATTGCTTAGACCACTGCAAGGCGTTCCCTCTTGCAATACACACGGAACCCTGAGTCAGCAGCTCAGCCACCCCAGTTCCACAGAGATGGTGGCCTCACATTGCACTACCTGAGTCACTGCCATATGAGTTATCACCCTGGCAATGCTGGTATGCTGGAGCTCCAGACCCAAATGGCCAAGGGCAGGGTCTCCGTCCGGCCCCTCACTATCTCTGTGACCTTGTCTGCTGGGGCTCACCACAAAGCACTTACCCTATGGGAGTGTCGTAATGGTTGTTAGCCTTTAGAGTGGTGCCTAGGCTAGGTATGCACTTCGAGGTGTTTGCTTCCACACCGCTGAGCACTTTCCATGAATGTTAATGTCTATGTGCATGTGTTTTACAGTCCCTAAAACCTTCACTGATATGGTAATGTCCAAAGTCCAAGAAGTTAGAAGCTGGAGTAATGCTGATTATTCAACTAACAACAACAAAAATGAGTCTACAGTGAGCTCCTGAAACTCTCTCACCACCATGATCTAATTAGCAGATGTTCATCTCAGTCTTGGTTGACCCCCCCCCCCCCACACACACACACACAGCCCATGTTTCTTCCCAGAGGCCAGTCCTGGCCTTACAAGACAGGATTCCATATTCCTGATATGAGTTCTTGTAGCCCAGTGGCAGTGTTACTTGCTCTGGTGGCATGTAAGATCATCATCGTTCATTCAATCTGGCCCCAAATAGGCGCCTATATGATCCCAGACCCTGGCACAGCGGGTGACAACTAACAGGCACTTAAAAATCAGCAACAATGAAGTATCGCAGTCTGTCATGTGAGTAACCATGGGAACGAATTCTGCTGTGATGGATGCAGAAAGAACCATGAACATAATCTGTGAGGTGGAAGGCTTGGCTAAAAGCGGATTCCTTTTCTTACGCAAAGAGGTGTGCACAGCCAGCACTGGTCACCATCATTCCCCTCCTCCGCAGGTTCTCAGCCTCATCCTTAGCCTATGACCTCATCTTTTCTTCCCATGACACTTGGAAGAGGCTGCCAAGTGTTTGTCCTCTGGACAGCCTCCAGTCATCTGGATGGCTATCAGAGGATCTTTTTTACACACAAATGGGACTGTGAGATACAACCCATCCTACACCCATCTATAATTCCTTAACAGCTTCCGAATGCCTCCAGATAGAAGCCAGTTCCCTGGCAGGACATGAGATCCTCCTATATTCTCCTTCCGCCCTTCCTGCCTCATTTCTCCCAACCCCACCACACGTGTCTGGCCACCTGGCTCCAGGGCGTGCTTCAACAGGTTCATGTGTTTGTGTCCTTGTAGAGGAGAACCATTCCTCAAGAAAGGTCTTTCTTGTTTCTGTCTCTCTTTCAGTTCCCAAATGCATCCAGATGTTTGTCCATGTATTCTTCTGCTGGAATGCCAGGTCTTCTGGGAGATCCAGAGAGCGAGTTTCCGCAACTGTTTTAAGAGGCAGCTGCAGAGCGCCATGGTAGCAAGCATAAGGCGGCAACCATTTGCTCCTCTGTGACCTCCACCATCATCAGGCTGGCACCAGGAGGTCGGTGGAATCTAGCTCAACTCAACAATTAATGAAGGTAAACCACGGTGACTACAAAGCTATTTGTTCCTTAAAATGCGCTTCAAAACACCTGACCCTTGGTAAATTTGACAGAGAATGTGGCCCCATCGTAGCTACCATGAACCATCTTAATTTTGGTTTATTCTTCACCAAGATTTTCAATTATAATATACCCATTTGACAAATACGGAATTCTTAATGTATGCTTTCCCTCCTATAAATTCAGTTATGGCTACCCACAGCCTCTGTGATCAAGGCTAACTTCCGCATTTAAGCATTTAAGGTACTCTTGAGTTTGTCTCTATTACATATTATTAGGTAATAATAATTAACATTTATTGATAGCTTACTGAGTATTGTGTACTGTTGAGAGAGCCTTTTATAGAGACTATCATTTTAATAAGCTTTACTGGTGTGTTTAAATAGCTTGTACTCATTCAGCTCTTACCAGAGAGCTTTCCTGGTAATTAAGTCATTTAATCTTCCTAACAAACTTAAAGATGGATACCATTATCATTTCTATTTTTCAAGGCACAGAGGAATTGCACAGCAGGCTCAAAATCACACAGTTCGAAAGTGAAGTAGGTAGCAATGGAGCCCAGACTAGCCCAGCAAACCTGGGTTTCCAAGCACCACACACTGCCACTGGGCAGACAGCAGCTCCCTGGTATCTCAGTCAATGGAGTCTCTGTGGTCAGTGGAGTCTGGAGTCACTTCCCTGCAAAGGTATGGCTCTACATCTCTGCTGCTCTCCTCCTCCTCTAAGCTGCTGGCATCCTCTGCTCTGCTCTGCTCTGCTCAGACCCTCCTCCGGGGCCCCTCATACTCTCTGCCTACATCCATACTCCCCCTACTAAAACACACACCTACTAAACACACACCTCCCCACCCATACCACACCCCCAGGCCTGCCCAAGACTCATCCTCCTGAAGCCTTTTCAACAACTTCCACCACCGCCTTTGAGTTTTCACTTTCCTGTTGACTCTGACGACATAGACAGCAAGCATTTCGCCATGGAAGGTCTGTCTTTTCAGAACTCTGACTGGCTGTCTTTAACGGTTCTTTGTTCTAAGTGGACTTGAGGTCAATAAACGTGTGAGTCCCTTGAAGATGCCAGGCAGTAACGGCTCAGGAAACCTTCTATGAACTCAGCCCCACACGCAGAGAAATGCTTTTGATATTCTTGAGGAAATAAGTGCAAAATAATTCATGTGGTAGATAGACTCAATTGTACCCTACAATTCTATTTTTAAAACTGGGCAAAAACTCTGAGTAAATTTGAATTTGCCTGGTTATGTTTCCTGTTTATCAGTGGATGCTGAAACAAACAAAGAGACACTAGAAAGCAAAGCTGAAAATAAAGTCATGGCTTTCTCAGCTAAACCCAGCAAAACAGACCTCATTCTGATGCAGATGAAACCAAATGGTTCCTCCTTGGCTCTGCCAGATGTAATCTGCACTTAGCATAATGGCACAGATCCACCTTACTCCGGACAAATGGGAGCCTTTCACTGCACAACAGCCTCCCTTGGCAGCGTCCCCACACGTGGCACTTAGACCTTTGCCTTTTCCCCGTGACCTACTTGGCTGTGTCGGCTCCGCTAGTTATTAGGGTGTTGATCAGGAGCTCGTGACCGTATCTTGCAGCCACATGCAGGGGGGTGTTGCCGTCCTTATCCACACAGTCAATTTCGCCTCCTGAAAGAGATTTTAACACAGCATCAAGCAAGGCTTCGCTTCAGGTTATTTTGGGCACCACATCCCGCCAGCCCCTTGAGAGCACCCAATAGTGATTTCCTTTCTACTCCAGCGCGCCTCTCTGCTCTACAGCATAAAAATGGCTGTTACGGGGATGACTCCCTATCTGAAACTGTAGCAACTGCCATCTCTGCAGAAAGAGGGGTCTATCAGAAATGCTTTTGGAAAAGCCATATTGTCTCAAGAACCTAAAACCTTCCAACTACATTCTGCTTCTAGCTGAACAATACAGTCAAATTCCATAAAATATAACTCTGGAGACATATGGAAATTACCTCACAGAAACCAAATGAGACAGAGCAGTCAGGGAAAGATTTGTGTAGTGTGATGACCTAACTTGAAATGTGGATGAGTAAGATGAGAAAAAGCATGAATTAGAAGCTGATGATGCCAGTATTTCTTAAAAATATCACATCGGTTTCCTGTAATCCTTTCTTTCATATAACATTTTCATTTTGCCTCACTTTATTTTGCCTTGTTTCCCTCCAACATTTTATTCCACGTTTCCCTTTCTAAAAGTGTATGTGCAAATGTTATGTGTCTATTTAGTTATTTGAATGTTTAAAAATAGCTTAGATATTGAGGCATTTCACTTGTATATATGTTCGTTTTTGTTTTTTTTTAACTGCAAATATTCTCACACACAAATGCATCGCCTTCTCTTCCGGAAGAAAATGAATTTGGTATAATTTTGTGTAATACACAGTGCAGACAGCACTTTCTTCAACTGCCTTCCAAATGGATTTTACAGTTGTTTTCCTGTTTAAGTCTGGAATCCGAAGACGCCGACATCACCTCTTTCACACCTCTTCTACACTTTATTTCAAACCTCTCCTGCCGTTAGTACCTCCGGAAGCCAAGCCAAGTGGTGTAGGAGGTCCTAAATGTTGGTTTCCTTGTTAGTGTCACACTAAACATTTTGGCAGGGATACTCCGGAGCAGATGGGGACTTCCTCTGGCACCTCCCGCACACACGCAGGTTTCCTTGCTCTTCTGCTGGGGGATGTGATACTGTATTATGGGCCGTGGGCACAGCTTCAAAGCGGAGAGGTGCTCTTGTTGATGGTTGCTTAACAATGCAAAGGCAGTCAATGGGACCTAACTACTAATTCTTTAAAAAAAAAAAAAAAGATGTAATAATGGGGATTTTTTTTCTGCTTTATGCAGTTTACTTCAATAAGAAAGACATTTGAGTACTTAAGATTGCAACTGCCAAGGCATCCTATAGGCTGTGTGAATATACAATTTAATATGCCATTTTCAAACAAGACTCTCCCACATGACTTCCCTCATGCAGTGAGCACTTTACGCAAAGGCCATCTGACTACTGTGCCCTTGTACTAGTGCCTTGATGTACAGCTGGTACATTTGATTCTGTTTTAAATTTTTAACTAGATTCAATTTAATGTGTTTTATTTGTATTAAAATATTTATACTTCACAAATCAAAATCATATTTTTTTAAAAGCCTCATGCTTGGGAGACATCTCAGTTGGCATAGTGGTTGCCATGCAAGCATGAGGACCTAAATTGGTTCCCAGGACTTGTGTTAAAAATCTGGGCACTGTGGCACACCTTGTAATCCCGGCACGAGTGACACAGAGATAGGAAGGAAGAACCCTGGGGCTGGCCAGCAACCAAGCCTAATTAGCAAGCTCCAGATCCCAGTGAGAGACCCTGCCTCAAAAAAAAAAAAAAAAAAAAAAAAAAAGCAAAGTAGATGGCTCTTGAGGAATGACACCCGCGGTTGACCTGTGGTTTGCACACACACACACACACACACACACACACACACACACACACACACACTTCCCTTCCCATTCCCTTATTACATCCTCATAGACTTTCCATAGTAGCCACTCTCATTCGTTCTAGCATGTGCTTCCTGTGTTCTGACAGTGTCTTTGGTGACTGTATCCCGGAACTGGAGTTGAGTCATCTCTTCTTGAGGATCACCTTAACATGACACAGCCCTGTTGTTGCTCCGGCCTGAATGAAGTGGCTTGGCAGACTCAGAGGCTATGGACTAGGCTCTAGGTAACACCTTACAATTACCAGGAACGCTGCGTGAAGAAACCCATATGTACGTGTACTGTCTGTATTTGCTAGGCAAACGGATGTATGTTTCTGTGGGGTTTTGCCGGCTCTCTCCCTGCGGGCGCTGGGTTAGTTGCATGCTGTCAAGCACTGCGCGAGTGTGCCTCCTCTCCACAGACTCGGGGTTTTGAATACCTGCCATCAGATGACTGAGAGCCAGCCTCCCAGTGGGGACTGCATTTGCATTTATCATATTATGAAGAAGCATCATCTGCTGTATCAAGGGACATGTGTTTATCTTATCCTAAAGAAGGATTTTTCAGGGCTTTTGCCCATTGTTCTAAATCTGTGTATCTGTGTGTGGGCTTTTATTCCTTGATTTTCAAAAGCTTGTTTGACTTCTGGGGGTTGTGTATTTACCGGTAATATATGCTACAAATATTTTTCTTCTGCTCTTCCTTTGTCTTTGTTTTTTTTACGGCATTTTCATTCAGTTAAAAAATAATACGTAAACCTTTTTATTTATTGAATTTGGTTTGCAAGTACAAAGGCTTTGTTCACAGTCTGGTGACAAAGAAATTAACCCACTGTTTACCACACTGGAAAAATCTGTTGTTGAGATAGCTGACCCATTTGAAGTTTAGTTTAGTGGCTATGATGTAAGTTATCTGAATAAATAAATGTTCCCCAAAGGCCTAAAGAATGAGTCTGAGGGAAAGGCTTGAACAGTTCATAAAGATAGAAACTCGATTCATGGTTAACCAGGATCTGGGGAGGGAGAATGAAGAGAATGAGATGAGGTTCATTCTAGGAATGATAAGAATGTTCTAGAGTTATATGGTGGTGATGGTTGTATAACCTTGAGAAAACACTAAAATTCACTGAATCACATATGATCTCAATCTCAACTTAAAAAGTAAAGGCTGAAGAATCATGGTGGGTCATGCCTGTAATCCCAGGACTCAGGAGACCACATCAGAAGGATGGTGAGTTCAAGGCTATCTTGGGCTACATAGTGAGTTTTAGGCTGCTGGCCTGAGCTACATAGCAAGACCTCATTTTAAGAGAAAGAAAGAAAGAAAGAAAGAAAGAAAGAAAGAAAGAAAGAAAGAAAGAAAGAAAGAAAGAA